TACTGCCTTATGGACCAGCTGCTTTCATGAGTTTCTATTCTTGACTAGTCGAACAGCGGTCGGTATACCGAGAAGCATGCCTCCACCATACCTCCACCGCTAAGCATGTCTCAGGCGATAACACTTCGATATTAAATGCTAAATAAAATCTTGGCTCCAGCAGATATTTGTAGTTCAGAGCGGCGTGCTAATAAAGATGAACCCCAAATACTCCTTCGATTTATATTCGAGCCGTGATCCCCAAATCTTATTTAAACTTACAATAGATCATCGCCCGATATTATCAGCAAGCGTTCTGCGGGACACGATTTTTACGTTATTTCCTGCCAGAATCAAAAAGCGAGCTTTTTGAAGGGAATTTTATTTTGTCGAGATACAATCGTCGGCAATTTTTCCTCAAAGATTTTTTTTCCGTTGGAACGTGAGGATTATATCTGGGATTTTCCTAAGCAGTAAGTCACTACGTCCAATATTTTACGTGAACGGTTTCCCGTATTTATTTAATTAGGCCGTATTGTATCACTGCCCCTGATCCAGTGTCAAACTACTTGACTCGACAGATCACGAGGTATATGGTTTGAATCCCACGCCAAGAATTATGTTGCTGTAAATAAGCAAGCAATATGAAATCACTCCTATGTCTTCGAATCCTTAGTCATGGTAGTCTTTAAACCCCACCAAATCAAGTTAGGAACGAGTAAGTTCGCAACCATAACTTTAGCTATAATTATCTTATAACAAAGAAGGCCCGTGCCCATCTGTGGGAAAAAAAATATTTGAAATGATGGTTCTAAACCGCTTCCTTCTGTTACGGGTTAAACGCATTGTAGGTTATGTTTTGAATCTTTAAACAAAAAACACAATCGTTTCGAAAGATTACTTAATTCTATAAATTTAATCATAAAGTGAAACGAGCACACAAATGTGTCTGTAACATACCCCACGTCTACATAATTTCGCACTATCATTAATAGACTAAGTAAAACAATGTTAACCGCTTAAAATGTGCTCTTAAACACCTATGAAGCTTGGTTTAGACTTAAACAAACAATATCATTAATCTTCTCCCAACCCGAAGCTTCTATTCGCTCGCCGACTGCAAATTTATCGAACCATTATCAAACTTTAGTTTGGGGATATAACCATTCTACCTAATTATAACTCTGAAAATAGAGATTTAAACTACACTAAAACTGAATTAGAATCGTGATTATACTAAACGTTTATGTAATTTACAAACATTAGGATTTAATAAGACTCAAATAATAACGATAATACAGTACGGTAGACACAGTCAAATTTTGCTGGGAAATCGGCAAGTGGCTGAATAATCAATGGGTAGAGAGTTCGATTCCCACCAGGTCCTCTATATTTTTTTTTTAAACTTACTAAACGTATCTGGTAGGTAGGTATCTTGGTAGGATTTCTATCCGGCTGACGAACACGTATTGATTTTAATCTGTGGCCAAGATAGGTCGACTGCGAATAATGTTTTGATGGTATAGCGTTAGGGTATATCGCTTTCTATCAAGGGAACTTGATTCTTGTCTGTCCTCCTCTATCGTTAAATATCAAACACCACTTTTGTTTAGAAAAGTGAACCCCAACTAAACTCAAATAAACGACATTTTCGATCATATGAAAGCTTACACGTGCTAATGATTGATAATAAGGTCACACAAATTACTAGTAATGTTATTCTTATATGAGAAGCTATTAATTTGAGACGAAAGATTAATTAGTTAGGTATCGTAATATCAATCAGTCTAAATTAAGTTTTAATTAGTAATCAACTTAAGTCTTATTTCTAATTATTAATAACACTTTCTTAGAATTCATTTTATTAAATAATCTATATCAATACTAATACATAAGGCTGAAGAATTCGTTTGTCTGTTTGTATGAATGCTATCATCTCAGTAACTACTGATTAAATTTGAAAAATTTTTTTGGTGTTGGTTAGAGCACTTACAAAAAATTTCTGAAAAAAGTTCATGACTGTATATGTCTATCAATATTTGCAAAATCAAATTTTGCTGCCCTAAATAATATCCGCGGACGAAGTCGCTGACACCGCTAGTATAATAAAACACTAGAATATTTTCTAATTTAAAATCAATTGATATTATTATAGATAATTTTTGATTGAAAATTCCATAAGACAGGTAATAAATTCTACGAACAGCGTTCTGTTGCTCAGCCAAATACATTTTCTTGTTGAGTACCATATTAAATTATACTCATGAGATGTTTCTACTTACTAATAACATATTCAGCTAAGGTTACTAAACTTATAATAAAACATATTTAAAAAAAAGTTGTATGTGTAGACAGAATTAAAACGGGAGTGGTTTTGATATTTTTTTATTCACGTCACCTCCTTAACTTAGATTCTCGGGAAGGTATCTTTCTTCGTACAAGAAAAAGTGAGGTACACGGAGTTATATATAAATTTGTCTCTGATTCAGGTCAGCTACATACTTCCTATATTAAGCTGAATAGATAAGCAAGCAATACTTTACACTTTAGTAGAGGCACAAGCACGGCTTACACTTGATGGAAGGAGAAATACCCTAGCTATATAACATTTCAACAAGATATGTTTGGCCTATTTTAGCATGGGACATTCAAATGTTTACGCATTAAGTTGGTCAAGGACAACATATTAAGATTAAGAGTTATTAGAAAGTAGTTTTGGCTCCTGAAACTTTACAAAATAAATTTGTACAGTTTAAATAAAACACTTTAACGGTTTCAAACGCGATATATTAATTAAACTTATTTGAAAATGATTTTTAACTCTCTCCGTCTCCCCGTGACCACGGCTGCTGCAAAGCATCCTAAACGTCGGGCCAAAGTTAAAAATCATTTTCAAATAAGTTTAACTAATATATTTCGTTTTAAACCGTTAAAGTGTTTTTTTTAAACGTGTACTACTCGCGTAAACTGCAATATAGACATTATTTGTACAGTTTTTCAACAGGCATGTCACGCAAGAGCTATAATTTTTTATTCAAAATAGATTTTTCATTATTTCTCTTTTTATTCATCTTGAACACACAAAGAGCATGACCACATAATGACAAGATTAAGGGATGAAAGGTGAAACTAACCAAGTATAATTAAAAATTCCTAAGCGTATTCCTTCAGTACTTCAATATGAAAGTTTCAGAGTGAAACAAGTTGTCGCAGTTGTTATAACTTCAGCGTTTGGTACTAAATAGTTATTTCTGGAAACTCATTAAGGCAGCTCAGTTGGGTAATTTTATACACATACCGACTTAGACCTATTTACGATAATAGCTGAGACACAAATTAAATTGATAAAAAAATATATATACTTATTTGAACAAATACGTCACGGGCGGGACTTGAACCGACGTCCTAGCGTTTCTTACTGCGGAAAGTGTTGAAAAAATTTAACTATTACATACTTAATGGAAACTATAAAATTTGCATAATTAAGGAAAATTATATGTAAGTATTTAAAGTGACATTAAATTTTCATTAGCATGTTAAAATTATTAATATTTTAATTAAATGTACGTCAAATAATAAGTGACGAATGAGCCCTATTCAATTTTCAATAATAGAATTACTATAATGCAAAGTTCCATCCATTAATATCCTAATTTATGTTTTATTTAAATGTACAAATGTACTCGCGTAAACAACAGACTGTATTCGTCTGTATCTTTCAGTAATCCAAATCATCGATTCTCAACATGTTACCTCTTTTGGTCAAACAATAGAAAAAATATTGCGAGCCATTTGTTCCAGTAACGGATCGGTGTAAAGTATTGGCCATTTAAAAGAACGTTAAAAACCAATGAGATTGTTGATGTTGAAATTCATGACATTCAAACTTACTATTTGTTCTTATATAGTAACGGCCTTAACTAATTAACGTAATACGGTCGTATTAAAATATTTTTAAAACCACTGGAGTAACGGTTAAAATTGAGTTATTTTAAAACAGTATTTTTCTTATAATATTTATTTGTAAATTCCAATTAAAATCACGACTAGATATTAAAAAAAGACGAATCCCAGTAACCTAGATTACATAAATTAATTCGTGAGGACACTTAAATATTCAACTGTCAAGTGTCCACGAGTGGAGATGGCAACATTTTACTGTAAAATTAATTTAATTTATTTTCGTAAGTCCTATAAATCATTTGGTAATTTGCTCGCTATTCACTGGACTTCATATTAAATCCACACTCAGCGTAATCGCTCGATTCTGCATATTTCGAGTTCCCAAACATTTCAAATAATCTTTTGTTCTTGCAGCGTCTGTGGAAATTATTAACTTCGGTTAGCCAAAAGTAAATAAGAAGTATGCTAATATCTGATATTGTCAAACAACCTCCAATCTTTTATTTGGTCTATTTTTGAAATGGTTCCCGGTGATAATATAAAAACGAAATACTAACCACCTTTCAAACGATGACCATTCTTCCCGCCATCAGACCACATCTTGAAATTTCAAGTCTTCATCTCTGACTTATTGTTATTCTGAAATTCGATAAATAGAGGCGGTTGTAATAAGAAACAAGACATTCTCATTTTATACCATAAGCTAATACGGAGTTCTATGTATGCCACATATGAAATATGAAGTGTTATATGTCTCTTTAAAAATCATGTTTGTAACTCTCTGAACACTGTTGTCTGTTGATGAAAATTGATCAGTAAAACGGACATGCTTTCAGTACCCACATGGGGAACACGTTGCAATTAAAAAAATATTTACATCAATGGGTAGTCGATTCAAACCCACTATATCCAACATGTTTTTAATTTTTCTGAAATATGGACTTGGATTAAATAGGCGGTAGGAATATTAAAATTCCATCCGGTTCACGAACCGAGCTCACAGACAAACAATCGCGTTTCGATTTCAATCTGTGGATTTCCAAAGAAATGAGGCTTAAATTGTTAAAAGCATATAACATCTTATCAATTGGCATATCTGTATTCCTCTATCATAAATATTATTGTCTTCTATCTACCTGTAACGCCCAATGCTTCTTGCACTGCGGACAATACCAGTCGCCATCCGGCGCCGACGCAATCCCGACGCATTCAAAGTGGTACCACTGCAGCGGGCATTGTGGCGAATCACAACCGATCATAGGCGAGTCCGACTCATCTTTACCGCAGAAACAATATGTCTCCTGGCTATAAACCGACTCGTCAATGGGCAGAACGTGACACATATGTGCGGCATATCGCCACCTCTTCAAGCCGCATTGTTTGCAGCAAAAGCTTTCGGTGCCGTGCCGCCAGTACAAATGCTCGACTAAATGTTTGTACTCGTAATAGAACATGTAGCATTTGCCACATGTATACACAGTTTTCACTTCGGTTATGTCTGTCTCGCTTTGCATCTTCAATGCTTATCGGTCGAGTATTTCGGTGATAATGAGGTTGTATGTGCAAAATTTTACTTTTATACGAGTGGTAATTAGGGATTTGCTTGACTCGAAATTTGTTTTGCTAGTCATTAATTAATGAGATAAAAATAACAATATTATCGTTTGCGGCTGTTATTTGTTAATTACTTGTGCTATTGATTAGATGGTGATTAATTATGTGCAAATGTTTTGCGAACAGAAAATAAAACTAAACTTTTTATGTATTGTTACTTTTATCAAGTAACATCTAATTAGGGGTTGTCCATTAATCACGTGACCTTTTTTAGAATTTTTAAGCCCCCCCACCCCCATTGGTGATACGTAGTGAGGTTTAAGACCACCTCTCGACATCACGTGTATTTTTAGTACCTACAAAGAATCTTTAAATTTTCTGAATATTATCTTAATATAAATACAGGTATAAACTACAATCTTATTTTATTCTGAAATTAAGGACCATAATAAAAATGTAATTTTCGTGATTTTTATCAAACCACCTCCCCCCCCCTTTCAAGCCTCACGTGATAAATGGACAACCCCTAAGACGTAAGAACAAAATACAAATGTACATAAAATGCAGTGACTTTATTAAGCCATTATTTGCTTATTTTATTTATTTTTATTAAATGTATGAAGGTGTAAGTATGCATTTGGGCATAATTATTATGAGCAGATAAATTTAAACGTAATATTATTATTTTAAGTAAGTAATAAGTTGCTCTATATCGACCTCCGGTGATTCTATGTAAATAATATATTTTATTTCAGAGATATTCATTCTAAATTATTTTTCTTTCATCTTACTTAAGACACACTTTCTCCTATCGCCTACATCAGTGCTATGGCGTCTGTATAACGGTTTTGTTTTAGGCAACTTTAATTAAATAAAACACTTTGAACGGTTTAAAACGCAGACCTCCCGTGATGCTGCAAAGCATCCGAAGTCGGCCTGTCCTTACAAATAATTGTAAATAAGTTTTCTTATATATTTCGTATGTTGGTGCGTTAACAGTGTTATAATTATATGTAATATATTATATTACAAAACATTAAGTAAAAAATTTGCTTTTGTTTGTCCTATAGTTAAGAATCTTTATGAAATTAATATTCAAATAACTCTACTAATTTCGAATATTTAAACGTTTTCGTTATATATTGAAATCTAAAAGGATCTCCAAAGAAGATAGTTTTGAAATAAAATAATTGAAATAAATGCATTCCTTTGATACTTGGAAAATAGCTCTGGTTGAAAATGCTACGGAATGTATTAAGACGGATGCCATTATCGTTTCTAAAGATGTTCCACCAGAGTCTAAATAAGATACTTTGAATAGGAGCTCTAGTTACCGTAGAACGGTTCTGAGGGACACAAAGAATCATGGAGCGAAGTACTGGAAGCGCTTTAGGTCTTTGTAGTATTAAGCTGTGAACACTGGAATACTACTCTCGAGATGACAGCTATACATTAATAAAAATGGAGTATCTATTTAACTTGAAAATATTAGCTTTTATAATGGTAATAAATAATATTGACATTTATAAATTCAAATTTGCCACGCATTAAAGCGGACAATGTTAAAATGGCGGATGAGGTGAAGAACTTAAGCCTATTACGTTGAAAAAGGATATAATTGGGTAAATGTTAATAAACTTAATAGTCGTTACTTTATAGTATTAGAGAAACAAATACTGTTTGTTTTTGAAAATCCTCAACATAATATCATACATGTAAAATATGAATTATTAGATTTACATACGAGATTAAAAACAAAAATAATCGTTTTACTTATTACGTGAACATTTAAGTAATGCTTTTGGAACGTTATTAAACTACCGTAGCTCACGTAGATAGGAAATATATTATATATTATTGGGATTCGAACCCAGGACATCTTTATTTTATTATTATAATAATACATTTGTCCACAAAAGCTACGTTGTAAACCGCAATCTTCATTGTTTCACAACTAAGTTTTGTGGTACGGATTTAGGACAACACATTATTGTCTGGAACAGATGGCGTTAGTCAAAAGGCCGCTTTTGCATTAAGCTCGAGAGATCTTGGGTTCGAATCCCGAGACATGAGTAGATTCTAGAACTTCTGTGCTTCGCTCGCGCAGAGCACAGACGTGCAATCAACTACTTGCCTACAAATAAATCAAAACTGATCAGTGAATGGGCCACTCAAATATCTTGGCCCCGTGCCCCATGAGGGGAAACGAATTGTCAAACATATAAGACTACCTGTAGCATCTACTCACAGTCACAGTTACATTACTACAGTTAAAGTGCTTATACATAAAATAATAGAAGAATTTTATAATATGAATATTTATTTTGTTCGTCTCGCTAAATATTTTTAATATTTCCTATCGTTAAAGAGGGAAATAGATATCTGTCAACGCTTTCCCTTTTATATTAGACACCCAACTCACAATATCCGGAAAGTTATTAATGCGTGATGCGTAAGAGTGATAGGCAAGTTTTTCGAGTAATTTTATTAAAATAAAAATAGAGAATTGGTGAACTGGAAGAATTAGGGTGGGCCATTGTTTATTTTTAAGTAATTGTATCAAATCTAATCTATTTAGCTATAAAGAAAGAGAAGATAACAATTGAAAGTCGAAGAAATAGAATACATACGATTTATTATTGCTAAAATTCTATTTGTGTCTTATTAATAAAATCATTAACCTGCTGTCTAAAATCCCTTGCTCACTTACAAGTGAATCCTAAAAAAATCATCAAGTAAGAATTACACATTAAAAGAAAGATACATTATAAAACTACTAGGTGTTTTAAATGTGTGTACTTATAAGCAGGCACTTTCGAGAACTCAAAATTTTCCTAAATGGAGAAATGACTTCTTCTGAAATTCTTATTAATCTAATTCTAATTCTAAAACGTGTTGGATTTCGTCTGGAAAGCTGGATATAAAATGGGTCGTAAAGATATCGTAATTCCATCCGGTGCCAATGTCCACAGAAGAAAAAGCAGTGAAATTTAATCCCATTCCGGTTTCAATCTGCAGATTTCCGAATATCCAAAGCCAAGTAGGTTGACAGCGCCTCTATCAGTTCAGATGTTGACCTACCATCCAGTGAACCCCATGCTCGTCTATCCTCTATCATAAAAAAAATGTACATCTACCCTCCTTCCAACATTCTATTTCCTGCTAGTGCACTTTCCTAGCAAAAAAAGCAATGAACTAACTGTGAACCACGATAATGCCGGGTCGTCAGGCGCTTAACACCGCGCCGCCTCTTTCGAACGAGGTATTTTTTAGTCCATTGTACATATCAAGCCTGCTTAGGGCTAACGTCGTTTGATCTTTAGTTCTTAGTTGGAATTTCGGCGTTCGTGTTCAGTAATCAATACTGTTACTAATCGCCTTTATACTGCGTGGTTAAAATTTGCATTATGCAGAAATTAATAGTAATTATCTATTTGATATTTTTTAAATACAATGTTATAGGGAACTAAGTACAGAGCTCCACCTAGTCACTCTTAGTTGAAATTTTGACGTTCGTGTTCAGTACCTTAACACATCAATACATTTATCACTGAAAAATTTTCGTGTACGTAAGTAGTTGGCATCCTTGAAATAAAATTGTAATATTTTATTCCTTTATTTTTTAAAATACTAATCGCGAGTAGGCATTTTAAAGTGCATAGGTATAGCTTCATATAACGCATATCTGAGTCCAAATTTCTCATACATTAGATCTAACGGTCTGTCGTCACTACATTCAACTATGTTTCAAGCGTTTTAAAATAAGGACAGGATAAATTTGTACTGCAATTACTATACATTGTACCGTATATTTTATTTTACTTAGAATAGAATATTCAACGCATGTAACAACTATGTGTTATCCCATTTGTCTACCGCCTCAGTAGCTAAATGGTCCTAGGTTCGAATACCAGCGAAACAATTAACTGTTTCGATCCGGCATGGTGTAGAAGTCTGATCAATTATTTACCTGTAAAGGAAACACATTTCTATGTATTTGTTTCATGCCCCAAAGTGAGAACCGGATTTTCTCACTTTGTAAGTCTACTGGCACTCAGTACTACTACTAAACTACTACAGTTAAAATAATAGAATAATTTTATGATGAATATTGATATCAAATACTGTCTGTAGTTTACGCGAGTAGTGCAGTTTTCAATAAAGCACTTTAACGGTTTAAAACGCGATATTAGTTAAAATTATTTGAAAATAATTTTTACTACCTCCCAAATATTTTTAACTAATATATAACTCGTTTTAAACCGTTAACGTGTTTTATTTCAATATTGATTATTATTTAAATTTTTCATATATTATTTTAATAAGCGATTATCTATTCCGATGCATATTCCTTTATTAAGTTAACTAAGCTACATTACCCGCAGCTACGTATTGGTGAATATGTCAAATTCAGTGCGCAAACGACTGTCCCCAACACGCTCACCATTTCCCTTGAATACGAATATATCTGCGTCCGACCTCATTCAATATCCTTTTTCCGAGCGAATAGTTTTATCGTCTTTGTTATTTCCACCCGATGAACAGCAACCCCTTGAGCAGAATTATTGTGACGTGAGCACGAAAATCTTTCCTCGTTTCATACGAAAAATTTCCCACAGATAATCATAAGCAATTAACGCGAGAAAAATATCGTCGACCCAAACTTGTTAGCGAACTCGGTTCAACTTGCGTATATTGAACTACAGGCTGTGTTCGACAATTTATAAAGGAATTTAACTTTGGGCGAGAGAATAGCTTTATCATCGTAAGTTATTAGCCTGAAGCGTGTACTTCCGAGAGGTTAACGATGTCATAACATTTATTGAATACAGCTATGAAAGTTATCAATTAAGTACGGAAGTTTTCAAAGGCGTCGTTGTGTCCGCGCCTCTTCCCACGGTTGGGACAGAAGCTTTGTCTAAATACCAAGACAATTCACGCTTATAATGTTTGAGTTCTC